GGCGATCATTTTGTTGCGAGAGAGAGAGAGGGGGGGGGGAAGGAGAGAGAGAGAGAGAGAGGGAATGCTGAGAAAACAGACCTAATCACACCAGACCATTGATTGTTACTTTCAGTTTGACCATGACATTTGAAACACAATTTGTAGAAAGCCTTTGGGGATTTACATACATGACAATTTCCCACTGAGTAACACATCCTTACCTATCTCACAGAGAGTGAATGGTGTCCAGTAATTATGTTATAGAGAGATGGGTATTTCTAAAATGCAATCCATGTTCTTGGGCAGGTTGTTACAAAATGGGGTAACAGCAATTATTATCCTGTCTGAGACCCCATTTACAAACCCCTCTTTGTTTTGTTGCTTGGTTTTTTGCAGTGTGATGGAACAGACCTGACCCCAAAGATTCAGGAGCTGAAGTTCCAATGTATAGTGTTTTTAAATATACCTAGGTAAGCTCCAGTAACAACAAACTGCTGGCTTCATAGGAACAATTAACTTAACAAATACGGTTTCCAGAGTTGTGCACCTCATACTTGAACAAGGAAGTCAACAGATAGAACAGAGTTGTCTTCTGCTTCATTAGAAACACAAAGCAGGAGGAAAAAAATCAGATCAGTACCTTCCAAATAGAAGAGCTCCAAATGGATCTGGAAGAAACACTGTTTCCTAACATCTCAGAGGGTGTCACAAACAGTGGAGTGTGTTTTTAAAAGCCCAATATTCCCCCCATCTTCCCTGTCCCCTCTCCAAAGATTCTCTTTCCAAGGTATTCACTTCCTCTCCCTCCTGTGTTGCGCTCTCTGCAAGGTTCTTTGTGGTGTCTCCTCTCCAAAGTTCTCCCCACCCCCTGCTCCACAAGGTCTCCCATATATCCCTAAGGGTAGGCAGGAGAGAGAAGCAGCAGCAGCCATTAGGTAGGAGACCACTGTCTGGAGCTCCTCCTCCAATATATCCCAGCTTTTGCATCCCTTCTGCTCCCAGACCTCCTGAGCCAGGAGGGAGGGAGGAAACTAGGGTCTGCAGAAAGCAAGCTCGGTTTCAGCCTCCTGCCTTCTTAGTAGGGGCACAAAGCAGCCTTTGTTGGCAGGAGGCTGCAGGTGAAAATCCAGCTGAACAGCTGATCTGAAGAAGGATTGGGGGGAGGCGGGAGAGAAGAGTCCTGAGCACTACTGCAAAAAGGCACTGCTGCCTCCCATCTCCACTCAGCAACCTACCAGAAATTGGGATAGACAAACTAATTGCCTGCCCCACCAGCCTGAAAGTTGGAGGGCAGGTTCCCTTTCTGATCTTTCCTGTAATTATATGTATGGTCACTGGGAGGCCCCAGAATGGATTTTAAGACCTTTTGGAATAGATGTATGGCTATTCACCCAGAAGATAAAGAACTGGCCAGTACTTATGCTTTCTTTTCTTTTAATTGTTATAAGACCCAGTGGGGCAAATTCTTAATATGCTCCCTAAAGCTCTCATTTTCTAAACCTCTTTCTGCAGGTATTGTGCTGGCACAATGCCCTGGGGTACCCCCAGCGACCACAGAGACTTTGAACCTCAGCGCCATGATGATGGTTACATTGAGGTCATTGGGTTCACTATGGCCTCTCTGGTGAGAATTTTGGCAGAGCTGAGTATTTTTTTTTGCATGCAGTAGATTTCACACTGCTTAGGGCACTGGGACTATTCTGTGTGCAATTTTGTATAAGACACCTCATGTCCATGGCTCAACACTAGGATGCACAAAGTTTCATACAAAAAAGATTCTCTCCTATGCTTTCCTGGGTTCAATAAGGTGGAAAAAATTTGTGTTTGCCTCAGTTTTTAAAAAATTATGAACAAATAATGGTTTTCAAAGGAAGAGAAGTATTATTTCATTATAAAAATGTACTCCCTGAAAAACTGGTTGCTTTGAACATATCTAATGGTGCTTCAAAATGCTCCCAAATCAAAATTCAAAGAAGATTAAAGTATTATAGAAGGGATGTGTGTGCATGTGTGTGTGTGTTTGTACTATGGGAAACTTCTATGGTCGCACAATAACTGCTGTTTGTTACCAGCCCCACCACAACTGTGGTTTTTATATATTATCCATATACATTAGAGCTGGTTAGAAATTCTTTGTTGGAAAATAGGGTTCCAGCAACAATTTTTTGTGTGTGTGTATAGAAATTACACTTAAAAAAAACGATGAAATTTGTGAACCAACAAAATATTTTGACAAAAAAAAATCCTACTTTCACTTTTTCACTGTGAGAAAAGAAAAGAAAATAAGAAATCATGTGTGTTGGGGGGTGGGGTAGAGGGATAATTTTGCTAGAAAAAAAGAAAAGAAAAAGAAACATCTTTAGGTTTTTTTTCCCCCTAAAACTTTTGATGAAACGTACTTACTCTTTTAAAACCATCTGTACTAATCACATAATTAAAGGTTGTCCCAACTTTGCAAGGTTGAGAAGTACCACATTGTCAAATCAACAGGTGCTCAATGGACATATCTAATTTGCATAAAATAGATACATATTGTAGCCCTCCTTGTCTTCAGTATGTAGGTGTGTCCTGCAGCTTACTTGCAATATGGAGCACTGCATGCTGGGACTTCTGGTCTTTAAAGGCCACATCTCCATCTTGAAATTGAGCATTCCTTTCTGCTGTACTCTAGAACTGACCATCTAGAATTGACCATCACTGGTATTGCAAAAATTCTCCACCTAAAGTCACACCTAAAAATCTGAATAGTTTAAAATAATTTCAATTACTGCATTAAATATTCTCAGAAAATTCCCGTTTTCCCTGTTTTATCAGAATGAGGGGGAGAGAGAAATTTTAAGAAGATCAGAGACCATAAGAGAAACACTCTTGATTGAGTAGTGCAACTGTTTATTTTAAGTATTTGTGTTTTCTAGCTGGTGCTCACATATTATAAATGATTAAGAAAATGTACAGTCTGCATATGTTAGCTCAAATTCTGTTGACTTGTTCTTTGGTCTCAAGGTCTATAGTGCCTTCAGAAGTCTTGCCTAAAGCCAATGAGGCTGATTTATTTTGTGCTGCGTTATAATGAATATTTACATAAGAAGATCTATATATGTGGAGTACATTAAAACACAAAATAATGCTGATGCATAAATAAGCATTGCATTTTTATATGCACCAGCCATGGAATTCAGAGTGAGCATTTCCATAGCAACCTTAATCCTGTGTCATCACCTTTCAATTATGCATTACAATTATGCCATTTAAAACCCTGAGCAAGATAACATGGTACTTGAGAAATAATAGAACATTGTGTGATTTAGTGGAAAAGGAATAAAACTTTTTGAAAGGGGTGTTGTCTACTGGTCAGAACACAGAGCAGCGATCTAGAAATATGAGTTTTGCTTCCCCTCTGACACTGATTTGCTGTGTAGTCTTGGGCAAGTCACTTAACCTAAAATGGGAGTGATAATTCTTACCTGCCCAACAAAGGTGTTGTGAGGATTGAATAATGTTTGTAAAGTGCTTTTAAAGCATCAGGTAAGTGCCACTATAATTGTTTTTCTTTTGTTCTCCCACAAAAAAGTTAACTCTAAGTGCATTTCCCGAGTACAAACCTTAAAAACACAAGATCACTAGTTACAGTGGTATTACCCTCCAGACCAACCTCAGTCTTTGTACCTTTTCGCCATAGCACCCAAATACATTCACAGGCTCGTCAGTTCCATGCCAATGGTGCTTTTCAGTTTCAGCAGACAGCCATCCGCAATGCAGACATCTAATTCCTCACACTGAAATAAACTTGATCTCCACCATAAGCAAAACTAAGATGCCTTACTGCTAGACCTACTTTAAATGTCTATGCCCCGATTGGGGTTTCTGCTATAGCCTTTGTATACTGGTGGAGCTATCATACGGGTGCCACAAAGGCAGTGGCAACTGATTGGTACCCCTAGAGGAATTCCCTAGTAGTGTAGGTCTGGTGAATAACCTTTAATTACCCACGCTATTACAGTGCTTGGTGTAGATGTATGTCAGGTTATAACTGAGGGAAGGGGCAGGATGTATTGGAGGAATCAGAAGGTGTAGCTGGAATACACTGAACTGTATTTACAATGTAACATCCCATAGGGAATCAGTGCAGGCAACAGTGAGTTAGAGTAGTCTTTGGGGTTGCCTCCAGAGGGCCACAGAGGTTGATGCACAGCCACCTTTGCCATCCCTCTCCTGAGCTGCATGAACTCATTTAGGCCACAGTTCAGAATCAGGTCCCTTAGTGAGCTATTTCTACCTAAAAGAAACTGAGGTCAGAGTTAAGGTTTTATATTTGTTTGTGATTTGAAGAGTCACTATAACAATAGACCTTTTCTGTATCGTAGCAGACATTTTGTGCATCACACTATGCTTTATCATATGCTTGCCTACATTTGTGACACACTTTGAGATCTTTGGATGAAAAGCCCTGTATAAATGTTAAGTAATATGATGATGATGATCATCATCATGTAACCAATAGCCCAGGTGTTATATTCATAATAGGACAGGTAAGATTCCTGTGGGAAACAAAACAGTGACTTCAGTTCCTGTAACTCTTGATGCTAATGTTGTATTAATATAGATTTTTTTTAAATCTGATAGACAATATTCACATTTTTTTATTAAAGTGCAGTGTTTCTGCCCCAAGATGCCTGCCTAAATCTCAAGGCCCCTGCAAGAGCCATTAACAACCTCTGTCTACCTTTTTGTCTCTGATATGTTTTTATCCCCTTTGCCTCTTCCACTGCTTCTTTACTCCTGGTTTGGGTTTTGAAGAGGTTGCATGTACTAAGGTAGGAGAGAGGAGATCGGCTTGGAAAGCTGGCTAATTTTTTTTCTTTAAGTTAACAGAATGCTGTTGGTCAAGAAGTTGTTGTTTGATGAAAACTATGCAGCCCTGTTTCTGTTGACTTGTTTCAGTCAACTTATGGACAGAATGTTGCGGCAGTGGGTGGGTGTCTCAGAGGGCACATGGTACAGCTCTCTTGTTTTGTTTCTTCAAGACAATTTTTGAACATAGCATTTAGTTGCTTTCCAGCTGCAGTTATCAAACAAGGTTTTTCTCCTTGCTCTTTTCAGCTTGTCTACTCCTGATGCTGAATTTCTATATAAACTGTCATAATAATTATTTCAGATTAATCTAATTCACATCAAGGACAGTATTGCCTTGGTAAGAAAGAAAACCCCTATTAATACTGTTGCTCGAAAAAGCATTTAGATCGCATAGATGGGACCTGATCCTTGAGTCGTAGACTGTAGGCACTCTGCAACACAAGCAATCATAATTGAAAACAAGATGTAGAAATATACAGAAATGCATCTTGGATGTGTGCAAGCATATAAGTGTTTATCTAGATCTCTAAATATAGATATACACCACATATGATGAGGCGACCTCCACATGATAAATTTCATACCCATGTGATACATGAATTTGTCATGTACGTTTGACTGCTTCACCTGACCTCTGCCCATTGATCCTTCTCTCCAGGACTTTATTCTAGCATTCTAAGTCCCATTTTAAGTCTTTTCTGTGAATGGAATTACATTGGTCATGCCTCATTGCAATGACTTATTGAAAAGCTTTGATTGGAATATTGCCTGAATGCATCATGTACACCCATGTCTCTTACTGGAAAGCCATTCTGCAAATTTAGATGGGGGGAAATGTGGGGTTGGCCTGAAATGCAACTTCCTAGTGGTGATGAATTTGGAATAGTGGGTTCTTTGCATTGCGTCCTCCAAATTAGTGACCATCTGCTGCTTTTGGACTGTATTATGGCAAGCATGTAAATCTCCCTGTGACAGAACAAACCACTTACTGCAACAGGGTGAGTCTCATGTGCAAACGGAATAATTTGTAGCAGAGGGTATAGAGTGCTGGGTAAAACAGGATTAGGGAGTTGTTAGCTAACTCAAGTGGCTGGTATAGGATGGTAACATTATGGCTTTCCTCCTCTTTGTTCTTGTTCTGCAGGCTGCTCTTCAGGTGGGAGGTCATGGAGAAAGGTTGCATCAGTGCCGGGAAGTGACTCTGTTAACATACAAGTCTATCCCCATGCAAGTGGATGGGGAGCCATGTCGACTGGCTCCGTCTCTCATTCGGATCTCCCTAAGGAACCAGGCCAATATGGTGCAGAAGAGCAAGAGGAGGACATCCATGCCTTTACTCAATGAGTGAGTTGGACTTGTTCATGTCCTAATACAAGGAGGCTGTTACTGGGCAGAGCATTCAAACAGGGAGTTTTCATGGACTGAACCATCAGAGTATTTGGAGAAAGAGGTCCAGAAACCCCAGAATGTTCCTCTCCTCCACATTGTATATATTTACCAGATTTTGTGTGTGCTTCAACTAACAGGGTTCCCTTTGTCCTGCTTTCAGAAAGATGTTATGTCTTTCAATTATCCAAAGGGGCAACTATTCGGGGAGGTCTCAGTGGACTCTACTGTGTGACTCTTACTAACACTCGTGGAAGCTATGCAGATATGCCCCTCACACAATTTAAAGTGCCATATAATGTGCTTTCTGAAATTGAGTCTTTTTGATCCCACATTGAGACCATTCAATTAATATCCACAGTCCACTGCAGGATACAGATGTGCTCAGGCTATATTGAGTCTTTGTGTTGGGAGCATGCTGCTCCCAGTTGAAAATGGGACCAGCCTGAGGATTCACTGACTAGAGCTATTTGTTGCCATGTGGGGAATCCTGATTGGAGTGTGCTGGTATAAATCACTAAGGGCTTGTCTACACATACAGACTCTACCTATGCCGACAGGAGAGCTTCTCCCATCAGTGTAGTTACTCCACTGCCCTGAGAAGTAGTAGCTATGTCATGGGAGAAGCCCTCCCGTCGCTATACTGTCTACAGTATAACTATGTTGCTCAGGGAGGTGGATTTTCCACACCCCTGAGCAACATATTTATACCAACAAAAGTCTGTAGTGTAGACCGAGCCTTAGGGTCTGGCTACTCTGCAGCTGGGAGCATGCTTCCCAGCACAGGTAGACAGACTTGTACTAGCTCTACTCAAGTTGGTGTGCTAAAAAATAGCTACATGGCCACAGTGACACGTGTGATGGCTCTGGCTTTCTGCCTGAATACAATGGCACGTGACCCCCGAGTATGTACTTGGGTGGCTAGCCTAAACTGCTGCTGTGGCTACCATTTTTCACATGCTAGCTCAAGAAGAGTTTGTCTACCCGCGCTGGGAGGCATGCTCCTAGCTGCAGTGTATTTGCACCCCTAATTGAGAGAGTTCAATAGCTCTCAAATCAATAGTAATTCTTCCTGTGCTGCAGTGTCTGGGCAGTGGTAAAACATTGCAGTGTTCTTGGAAGTGTCAGCAAATCAAAGGGGACTTTCCTGGTCTATTAGGAAGTACCGAGGGATGCATTTTGCGTGAGACACTAGATACAGTATATTTGGCAGTTCCCAGTCTGCTAAAAGAAAAGCTATCATACTCAGATTTCAATGAGAGTGTTAGCTTTAGGGAGTTGCATCTGAGGGTGGATTAGGATTGAGAGTTTCTGGATCAGGGAACCAGAAAAGAAAGGAAGAAAAGTGAGAATGGACAGGTAAGGAGATAAGCTATAAAATGAGAGGGAAGCAGCATTAGAGTAGCCTCAAAAAGGAACAGGGAAAGGTTGAAATAAATGGAAGCCAGAAAACATCCAAAGAATAGAAGATAAAATTTTAAAATATCTTTTTGATATTAAAACATTAGTTTAAAAAAATCCCTAAGAGAGCATTTTAATAGCATAAGAATATTTTAGAAAAGACTTTAAATATTAAAAATGCCATTATTCTTGATTTACCAATGAGTCTTTCTGTGCTGCTGAGATGGGAGCTAATAAACATTCCCGCCATCATCTTCATGATGTATTATTTAAATTGCAAAAGACAAGGCAGGCCTTCAGTATATACTGAGCCTCGGTTTAAAGCCAGATACCTCCAGCACCCTACAAATGTGTTTCATTCAAACAGCTACATACTCAGGAGTGTGTTATTCCTTTTAGCAAATCATATAATCCAGTGGCTGCCAACCTTTAGAAGCAGAAGTGTATCAATTCATAAAATCAAGTACTTTGATATACCAACCAATGACTCCCTATTCAGTTTTGCATGTTCAGTTCTGTTAACGAGACAAACGTTTTGGAACAGCAGTCTAAGCTTGTGTTTACCACATTAGATCCTTATTTGTCTTGAAAATATGTTAGGCATACATTTCACCTTGAACAGTTGATGAATAGAAGACTATCACCCCCTGAGCAATGACCTCTAATTTCTTTTCACCACCCCATACCATGCTACAAAGTCCAAACTGGAAAAATTCAATCCTGAGCCATTGTTTCCAACCATGAGGGAGGCCACAGCAGTAGGAAGAAAGCATTTGGTGTATTTCAGTCTAGTTATTAGCATGGTCAGGCATGAGCTATAGCATCTGAGTTTAAACTCTGGATGGGGTATACTTTTCCACCCCATCATGGTAACGCTATACAGTAATTAAGGTCCACTGAGCCGTGGAGAATATTGTTCATGGCAGAATTGGTTTGAATATGCTATGCCAAACTCCATCGGGTTCAGAGCTTCTGTTGTTTGGGTACCTTTTGGTTTGAATGAAATATCCAAGCTGTGAGTCTGTGTTTTTGGGGGGTTACTGGCAATTCGTCAAGGACTTTAATCCCAATCTCAAACCTCTGCAAGACGTGTGTGTTGGTGTGTCTGGACGGTTGGGAAGAAAGGTGGAATGGGCGGGCAGGTGGAATGTTTGTTGAGTTTCTTGGCATAATAAAGATGAATTATAGGAGGAAGAGGTTAGAGTTGACTAAACTGGAGTTTGCCCAGTATGACACTGTTCTGCAAAATCCAACCACAGACACCAAGTTTTCCCTTTTACATTGTCATATAAATTTCTTAACCTGATGTCTGCAGTGTTTAAAGGCATCCCATCAAAATCTTTTCAATTTATAGAATAGGTGGATTTTTTGTCCTCAGGCTGGTGAAAGTGCACCCTGTAAATTATAGATGTGTGAGATTACTGAATGGGTCTGGCACTGCATCTGCAATTGCTGGAAGCTTTTCTTGAGCTTTCTGCACATACAGTGATTAAAAAATAATCTCACATCACACTAATTCTGAAAGCTATTATTAATTACTTTGATGATATTGGAGGAGGAGGTTAATAGCAGAAACTCCCTTTGGAATTTTGTCTGATGTAGTGGCACAAGTGAGAAAGTTTTCTTTTCTTTTTCAAGTTTCTAAATGTGTTTCTGACTTCCCATTGTATGTTGTTTTGGAGTTCTGTTTTTTATAGCATTGAGGGCTGGCCGGGAATGGTAAATTTACCATCTGCCCTGCCGATGACTTTTTCAAAAGTCACTTATCCACTTATACAAATAACTGTTAAGGACATATACCTGTTATGAAATAAAACAGTTTCTGTGGACCAAGGCAAAACACATACCCTAAAATACTGTGGTGAGAGTGGGTTTTTTTTTCCCCATGGAAAGTTTTGACTTTTCTTTGAAAAAACTGAAAAGTTTTCGAATTTTGGATTTTTTTTCTGACACTTTTTGGGTAAATTTTCATTTAGTTGAAAACTCAATTTTCCATCAAAAACAGTTTTGATGGAAAATTTTTGACAGGATCTAGCTGTGAGACTCTTTGAGGTCAATCCTTGATAGAGGGATAAACCTGCTGGAGGAATGAATTTCTAAGCCATCAAATGGAAAAGTGCAATAGTAAACTGGCTGTAACAAATTAGTTACCCAAAAACTTCTCTTTTGCACTTAACTCTGTGTATTTAACTAAAATATTTGGTATCTTATAAAAGAGCAGAACCATTTTTTGTGTCTGTGTATGCTGGAAGGAGTGAGGGCTACAGAGATTTCCCCCTCCATCCTGCACCTATCCCAACTCTCTTGTTCTCCTCAGATTCAAAGAGCTGCCTATCTTCCTGCAGTGTCTTCCTTCAGAACCTGTAAACACTGCTCACCTGCAGAGAGTCCGGTTCATAGGACACAATGGATCCCCAAACTCCCATAAAGCAGCATGCCAGGAAAATGCAGTTTAAGGTTGATCTGACTCAAAAGGAAGCCTTTGGGGTCAACTCAACAGAATGAAAGGAAACATTTTGATTTTCAGGAATGTCAAAATGTTTTGTTTCAATCAGAAATGTTGAAACAAATTTAAACATTTCTGAATACACATTTTTCAGCATATCATGAAAAATTTCTAAATTTCAACTTTGTCTCATTTCGGGATTAAAACAAATGTTGAAATGTTAGAATTTCCCATGGGATGGAAATTTCAAATTTTGCTCAGCTCTAGTAAATAGAAATGTGTTAATAAGTGGCTAGAAAGAGGCATGTTTGGAGGAGCAATATATATTTTTCCCTTTGCTCTTATTCTAATGCTATTTTGACCAGTAATCTTTCTTCGACAAGCAGAGGTAGTCAAACAGTATAGTGATAGATTCAAGAGGCAAAGTCTATTTAGCTTAACAAAGACATGGTTAAGGGTTGACTTGATTACAGCCTATAAGTACCTGCACGAGGAACAAATATTTAATAATGGGTTCTCCAGTCTAGCAGAGAAAGGTATAACGTGATCCAGTGGCTTTCAGTTGGAAGCTAGACAAATTCAGACTGGAAATAAGGCATTATTTTTTAACAGTGAGGGCAATTAACTAACTGAACAATTAACTAAGGTTCATTGTGGATTCTCCATCACTGGCAGTTTCTAAATCTAGATTGGATGTTTTTCTAAAAGATCAGCTCTAGGAAATTTTGGACAGGGCCGCCCAGAGGATTCAGGGGGCCCTTGGGCAAAGCAATTTTGGGGGCTCCTTCCATTAAAAAAAAGTTGCAACACTATAGAATACTATATTCTTGTGGGGGCCCCTGCAGGGCCCAGGGCCTGGGGCAAATTGCCCCACTTGCCTCCCTCCTCTGGGCGGCCCTGATTTTGGAGGGAAGTTCTCTGGCCTGTGTTATACAGGAGGTCAGACTAGAGGGTCACAATGATCTCTTCTGGCCTTGGAATCTGAGTATTGAAAGGTGTGGTGGTTTTGGCATCTGTCTGCTGGAGTTTTTAGTTGATATTAAGAAATGTTACAGTGGTGACCCTAAGCAGGATTTGAAGTCAAGTTGCTCAGGTGGGAAAATCCAACAGAAATAGTCAGGGTATTCTGGTGTCATTGTTTTTTTAACCTTAGAAAATAGAAACACAATGGGGACCTTTGTTACTGAAAAGGAAGGTCACTGTAGGCATCTGACATTCCCTTGACTACTGCTATTAAATGGGCTCCCTTGGTTTCTCTTCCGCTGTTGTGATTTCTGGATGTTTGGGTTGTCTTTCCTTTGTTGTGCTGATTAGTAAATTCATTTACCTCCTGGTATAGGATGTGAGCTGTCAGTGGATATTAGGAAGGTGGTGAACCTAACTTTTCCTTCCTTCATATTTTCATGTTGAGGCAGTGATAAATATTAGGCCTTCAGAGAGCAGCTTCCCTATAGGTTTTTTTTTTAGATGGAGTAGTCTCCACAATGGGAACTCACCTACCTTATCTATCTCATAGCTCATCTCGGGTAACATGTCGAAAGCATCTAAGAGACTTAGGACCCTACGTCTCATTGACTTGCCATGGAACTCAGGATCCTAAGTCACTTAGGTACTTTTGAATATTTTGCTTCTCATCCATTTACCTAATTTAGGTTTTTATACCATGCTGCTTACCCTAGTATCTAAGGGCCATCTCCTTTCTCTGTCATTTCCCAATTCATCTCATCCCAAGTTGTGGGGAAGTGAGCATCATTTAATGTTTGTTTTTGAGAGTAAAATGTCTTAAAGGTTATAAAAGAGAATGCACAAGGAATCTGCTCCTGAATAGAATGAGAGCCGGGGATCCAAATCTAGCAGTACTGTTGAGCCACTTAAGCTGAAGGAGAATTTCCTTTCCTTACTGACAGCAGCAGCACTAATAGCCTTATTCAAGCCTTCAGCTATTAGAGGACCAGACAGTTTCACATGTGTTGCATTCCACCTGAGCTGGGCAAATAATTGGCAATGAATAATTTATCCAATGAATTTCACCTCTTCGGTTACTGAGTTATCCATGAACAGATTGTGATCTTCTCAAATGTATTCATTATCTGAAATTATTCATAGAATAATTTCTGCAAATATTCCTTGGTCTCTTCATTGTTCATCAATGAATATTCAGTTCATTATTGAATATTTCCTATTTGAAACTTGAGCTGTTTTGATCGAACAAACAGTTTGTTTCTGTTCTCTGATTGGATGAGCATACCACTGCTAACCGGAATCAGGTTTCTGGTTTGAACATCTTCTGATTATGAATTTTAAATTCTTTTTCAATAAATACTGTACGATATTTTCTTAAAATTTTCTGCTTCTGCAAACATCCTGCCAATTAAACTAATTTGCAAGAAGAAAATGTAAAAAGTCCTGAATACAGTCCATATGGTTGCTATTAGCTGAAAACCAGACCTTTGAGGCCCCATCCCTGCCCTGCCTCTTCCCCCAGGACCCAACCCCCTGCTCTCTCCTCTCCCCCCATCACTGGATCATCTCCACCTCCCTCCCCCTAAGCTGGGCTCCCTCTGCTCCAGGCCTGGGACGGGAAGTGCTGCGGCCTGACGTGGAGCCTGCCTGCAGGTAGGAGGTAGCCCCGGCTGAGCAGGGGCTGGCACAGGTTGATGACCTGGCACTTCCCCCCACCCCAGCCCACAGTAACCAGACTTTTGGTGTCCGGTCAGTACATCTGACTGGACACTGCCAGGTCCCCTTTTCGACTGGACTTTCTGGTCAAAATCCAGGCATCTGGCAACCCTAACAGTCAAAGAAAATTGGTTTAAAAGTTAAAAAAAAATGTTTGCATTGCAATTGGAGGACAATGTTCAGGGTCAATATACCGTGGTCGTTCATATAATGTTTCTACCACTTCATTGTTTGTTTCTGATAGGTGCTTTCCAAACATAGAAGAAGGCTTAGTCTCTGCCTCATTCTATATACCATTACACATAATGGGGATATAATAAAGTAAAGAGGTTCAATCCAGAAGTGACTTTTTAGGTGCAACAATTGTACAATGTTGATTGATATTGTTTATACTCAGGAACAGTGCAAGTTGTGGACAGAAAAAAGGCAGATTACGGGGTAATGGTAAATTTGTTTACTTCTCATATCTGATTTCCATTCGTCTTCTGAGTCAGTTTGTTAAGTTTAGTGGCAAAAATAAGACTTTACTGTAGCCAGTCTAGCAGAGTCAATTTTGCTGCAGAACAACGAGCTGCATTCTGTTCTGCTGCATGCATCATTAAAAGACTTGCCAGTTAAGTTCTGATTCCATAAGCTCTCTTGTTGATGCAGGAGATTTATGAAACAGAACACAGCTTGGTTTCCAGAGATCAAGCTAAGCATGCAATGCTGGCAGGTAGGTTTTGCTTACAAATCAGACAATATTTTTCTATGTGGAAGTCATTGAAGAGAAATTAGAAGGGACACCAAGAATCAGTTTCCCCAGGGTCACTCTCTGACCCGGAACCCCAGTTTAAAATACTGCTTTGCAAGTTGTAGCTAATCAGAGTCATACACAATCCTACAGAGAGAGTATTTGGCTTTCAGTTTGGGTTAAAGAAGGATGATCTGCTGTTACGAAACAAAAATTGTTCCAGAGGTTAAATATAGAAGCATTCCATTGGGACAGTTGAGAGAGGTATAGAGACTCCTTCGAGTATAGAAACTAAAGAAACCAGCTTTGGGAGTTACTGTATATTACATGCATGGTTCTCTAAAATATGTTAAGGAAGAATAAGGACAGCATTTTGCCATTGGGATAGAGGAATTCCGATTAAGAGTATTTTTGTAAATGTTAACAAAAATTGGCAGATTTGGGGAGGCAAATCCATCATATCGCGCTTTGGCTCTGATAGTTGTTTGCTCTTCTGGACTTGCAAGGTGCATCACAGGCTTTTCAAACTCTACAGGCTTAAGATCTTTCAGTGCCTGTGGGACCCTGGCCCAGAAACCTCTCCTAATGTAACTGTGCACATTGTTTGCCATTAGCCCGTTCACAGCCTTCAAAAAAAGACCTTTGTGTCACTTCGCAGTGAACATTGTCATTTGTTCTGTTTGCCTGTATTTTGTTGCTGCTGCCTCTCTAGTGCACTCTTGGAGCTTTGCATGTATTTTCATTCAACTGTTATGTGATGCATTCCTTTTGTTTCTGTTTAAATGTTGTATGTCTCTCTCTCTCCCTCTTTCTCTCGCCTGGCTTCTTCATTGTCTATCCATGCTGTTGTGCTGACTCTGTCTTGGCTGCTCATTTCCTGCTGCCTATAGTATCCATAAAGGGCGCGCTGCAGACCTGAGAAGAGTCTCTGCTCCCCCTGACTCCTTCACTATGTAAGTACTCTGCTTTTTCTTTTCATTTCCTTCCTCCCTTTCAAGTGTGTTCTGTCTGCTTCCCTTAACTTTTGTCTGTTGCACTCTTCTACTGTACCCACCGTCCGGGCAGCAATGCGATCAAGACAGTCTGTCTCCCAAAGGAGCAGATTCAGCAATGCAGTGATAATTGCCTAGAATAGGAGTTGTTTCTTTCTATTTGATCTTTCTTTTTTTGTTGCATGAGCTGGATGTCAAGTCCTAAGCACAGCTGCATTCTTTGGCTGCTTGGTTTGATTCTGGCCTGCAGGTTGTCAGAAGCCAGGGGTGCTTTGAAGGCACCATGTTTTTTTTCAGCTCCCACCCTGGAAGAAGCAGAAAGCATCTCTCAAGTGCCTTCTTCCTCCCCCAACTAATGCTTAGAGAAGCATTGACAGTTGCTGGAAGGAGACATGGCTATTTTCCCTCCAGTCAAGGAGAAATGAACAAGACCTTCTGGGGTTCCTCCAGAAGCACATGTCCAGGGCCAGCTCCAGGCACCAGCGCAGCAAACAGGTGCTTGGGATGGCCAAGGGGAAGGGGCGGCACATCCGGCTCTTCGGCAGCAATTCGGCGGCGAGTCCCTCGGTCCCTCTCAGAGGGAAGGACCTGCCGCCAAAGTGCCACCAAAGAAGCGATTGTGGCTTTTTTTCCTCCCCCTGCTGTTTGGGGCGGCAAAAACCCTGGAGCTGGCCCTGCACATGTCTCAAACATAGCCATTGTTAACTATTCAAATGCATATCCAGAGCATTTACTTGGCTTAAGCAGAGGCTGATGCTTCTGTTTATTCTGTGGCATGGTTCACTAATGTTCCTAGCACAGCTTCCAACCAGTTATTGAGTAGCTAGAACTATACTGCTGCGTCTGTGCTTGCACTTTTGGAAAATGCATTTGTCTTGAAGAGGTACAAGTTCCTTTTCTGATGGTCACACAACATCCCTGGGAATACTGGAGATGAAGTGACTAGCGTCTCTTTCATGAATTTATAATATTCATAACTGGGATTTTTGGTTTTCAGTTTTAACCAAAAATAGCCCAACCCGGCCCCACCCTCCAAGCATAAGCGTTTCTTCTTCTAAGGGTATGTCTACACCCAGCCGCTAATTCGGCGGCTGGCAATCGAAGTTCTGGGTTCGACTTATCGCGTCTTGTCTGGACGCGATAAGTCGAACCAGGAAGTGCTCGCTGTCGACTGCGGTACTCCAGCTAGACGAGAGGAGTACCGCGGAGTCGACGGGGGAGCCTGCCTGCCGCGTGTGGACCGAGGTAAGTTCGAACTAAGGTACTTCGAACTCAGCTACATTATTCACGTAGCTGAAGTTGCGTACCTTAGTTCGATTTGGGGGTTTAGTGTAGACCAAGCCTAACTGGTAAAAACCAGAAACTTATTCCTGCAGGGGTCCTGGAACAATTTGTATACTGGAGGTGCTGAGAACCATTGAACCAAACTGTAAACCATGTATATGATGAAACCACTTCAAGCAATGGCCTGTGATAGCACCCCTAGTTCTAGCACCTATGTCTGAAAGGGAAAGTTACTATTCCGTTTGCAGCTGCATTAGAAAATAAAACAGTCCCTTCCTGGCAGTATTTTGACTGTCAGTAACTCCAGCTCTATCCTGTAGCTCAAGAATCTAACATCTCTATAAAAATGTTGAGAACTGGTGATTTTTAAAAAAAGCAGGCACAGACAATTGGTTATTGCTTTATTTACTCATTCTCTTAATAAGGATATGCCTTATTGTCAACCTGGGCACCTTTACAATAAAAACAACCACCATGTACTATGTCAATCCTATCTGTACAGGTTGGCTTCAAAGATGTTTTGTTAATATGCAGTGAAATAAGAAAAGCAGTTGGTTTTGTGTTTGCACCACTTTTGTCGTCATGTTTTGTGAATGTTCTGCTGGACAACTTTGAATGACAAGCAGGTCTGTGGAAAAAATGAATTTGAAGAATATATTAAAGAATAGTGAATTTCAGACTGTAACTGTGAATATTCCCAGTGGAAACTTGATTCTAAAATTTATGCTCAGATAATCATGGAACAGCAACAATGTTGTGTGTGATCTGTTTGCCCAGTGAAAACTAACCATCCCAGTTCTATTTGTGAATATTGAGTACTTGCGATGAACTGCACACAAACTGTCGTCAAACCAAGACTTATTTGCTCAACGCATTCAGTGAATAATTCAAAAAAAGAACAAATACATTTCAAAAAATTATAAGCAGCTCATTGATATTTGACAGACAAGGAAAATATCCTCATTCATCATGCATTATTGCTATAACATATTCACTCAGCTCTATGAAAAAATATTAACACAAAGAAAATAACTCCCCCATTTAATAAAACCAGGTACACCCCTCAAAGCAAGCACCTGGCAATGGCCTGGGTAAAGCCTTCCTGCATGTCCTGAACGATAACAAACTTGGGGACCAAAGAGCAGGGGAGTGTGTTTCAGAGCCAAGGGCCATCCAATGAGAATGACCTCCAAATCTGGGTACTGTTAGCCTGAGTATCCCATCGGGTCTCAACTGTCAGGATAAGGCAGAAAGAGAACAGCAGACATATGGGACCCAAGCTAATTTGTAAGTCAAAGATATACTGTATCTTGAAATCTGTAAAAATAGATTAAACATGCAGCTGCACTATGACTGCCAATTAATGTGTCTGATTAATATAAGTAAGAACCCAAGAGGTGTTAGGGAAATTTGATTTGGGCTGTGATTGCTTTGAGATTCAAATGTTCCTCGTCTTTTGGGTAATGCAGAAAGTATGTGTGTTCCAGTTAGCAGACTACAGCAAGAGGGATTTTGTGGAGTTTCGGGGATAGAGCCTGCACCCTTGATAACCCTCAGGTTTTCTGGAGCAGTGTCTGTGGACAGGATAAGTCTTGAATTTGGGGCAGCAAAGAATGTGAAAGAAAGAAACACACACCCGCCGATTAATTATATATTTTAAATTAATTTTTCCAAATTCAACAAATATACGAAAATACCAGATTCATCATAATACCCAAAGTAAATGAAGAGGGTTTGGATAAAAGGAGGAGAAGGGAAGTGACATATCTATCTCCTGAGTCTAGGTTAATCATAGACCTCTAAAAAGTCAGCCCAAATGGCTTTGAATGTTTCAGGCATTCCCTTTCTGCGGCATGCCAGTCATCCGTTAGCTGCAAGGTCAGACGGATCACTGAATTAGGCATCAATATTTGGTCGGGATTGACTTTTCATTTTTGCAGGATTAATTTTTTAATCACCAAAACTACACACTGGAACCAGGCTGCCTTGTTACCAGGTAATCTCCAGATTTCCAGAATATATCCAAGAATGAAATTTAAGGAGGAGGGCTCCAATTTAGCATCCAAATTGTTCCTTTGACCCACCTTATACCAGAAATTCTTGATACAGGGGAACTCCCAAAACATACGAGCTAATGAATACCAAGGGAGTTACATTTCCAACAGTGGTCAGCATTTATGCGGCTTATTACCATTAGTCTGTGTGGGGACCAGTATATCTGAAAACATATATTTTGGTGAATGAGCCTTAGCTTCAGGTTCTGTAATTGCTTTTTTAACATTAGATACAATTGTAGTCCATTCTCTATTCCAGGCAACTCTCAAATGATCAATCTTGGGCAGATTTTTTGGGGCCAGAAAATCATAAAAGGATACTGGTGGGGGATATTGTCTTTGAATTATTAACAGTAGAGAGTTTTGAAACTTGGATTGGGTATAATATGCCTTGATTTTTTTACTGAGGACTTATGGGTAGAGTAGAGTACTCACATTTTTAGTGTCAAGTATCACAGGGGTAGCCATGTTAGTCTGGATCTGTAAAAGCAGCAAAGAGTCCTGTGACACCTTATAGACTAAAAGACGTATTGGAGCATGAGCTTTCGTGGGTGAATACCCACTTCGTCGGATGCATGTAGTGGAAATTTCCAGAGGCAGGTATAAATATGCAAGCAAGAGTGAGTCAGGCTAGAGATAATGAGGTTAGTTCAATCAGGGGGGATGAGGCCCTCTTCTAGCAGTTGAGGTGTGAGCACCAAGGGAGGAGAAACTGCTTTTGTAGTTGGCTAACCATTCACAGTCTTTGTTTAATCCTGAGCTGATGGTGTCAAATTTGCAGATGAACTGAAGCTCAGCAGTTTCTCTTTGAAGTCTGGTCCTGAAGTTTTTTTGCTGTAGGATGGCTACCTTTAAATCTGCTATTGTGTGTCCAGGGAGGTTGAAGTGTTCTCCTACAGGTTTTTGTATATTGCCATTCCTAATATCTGATTTGTGTCCATTTATCCTTTTTTTTTATCCACTTTTAATGGAGTGTTTCTTAAAGTGGGATGGATGTTTAGATCTTTGAGTATATGCTCAGTTGGGATGATGCATATGAATATCATATTTGAGCTGTGCAGTTGATGCAAAGCAGTATAACTATTTGGATTTATCTGAAAAATTAGCATTGGCTACTTGAAAAACAAGAAGTAATTGACTTACTTGGGCCTGCGTTTAGAGATGTAAGCATTACTAAAGGATCCAACTTCCACAAACTTTTCATGCATAAAAGGAGCACTGTGGATATGCTGTGATTATTTACTATTAAGATCTGCATACAGAAAAATGTTATTGTCTAGTTGTTAGTATCTAATATAACGAGTATTCTTGGCTAGTGGGGAGTGTGTGATATTTGCAGCAATGTTCACATCTTTTGTCTGTGTGGGCAACAAAAGTTCTGAAAGGAATCAATTTCTGATTTTAGAAATTTGAATGTCTAAAGAAGTCTGTTTGTATGGTGTGCACCTGCACTACAGACTCTTTGAAATGGCCAAATAAAAACCCTAACCGTAAAAGAGAAAGCATAACGAGGACCAAAGTAAAACAAGACAGCGGGGGTGAGTTAGAGAAAATGGGTCAATGTCTAACAGTGGTATTAAGGATCAAAGAGGTTCTCCTCCTCCTACCTCTGAATGAATTATA